TCTCTCTCAAAATAAATAAATAAATAAACTTAAAAAAAAAAAAAGAAAGACAGGGGCCTAGGCCTCTGGCTAAGGGACAGCATTGGTTGGCAGGCAGGGGATCATCCCTGTTTGATCTCAGCTCAGCCAACAGTGTCCTGGGTGAGCTCAGCTTCCTCATCTCTGAGCCAGAGGTCTGCCCACTGTTGGGGGTGTGGGGGGGTGCTGTTCTCACTGCAGAGTGTGGTGGGAGCTGGTGGGGCTGCTTGCCAGCTCCAGATTCACCTGTAACCTTTCCCACTGGTGCTTCTCCCACCAAGGAGTTTGGCAGTCACTCTGGACCCAGAGAAGGTGGCTGTAATCAGGTAGCCACCTTAAAGGGGATGGAAGGTGTATCACAAAGTATCCACTGGCGATCCCCCAGAAATAGGTGTTCTTGTCAGAGGAAGGAAAGAGGCCAGGTCCTTGTGTATTTCACAAACTCAGAAGGGTACTTCAAAGGAGAACCAAAGTGGAGGAGGCTCTGGAGCCAGGCAACCTGGGTTTGAATCCTGGCTCTACCACAGATTAGCTGTGTGGCCTTGGGGAAGTTACTTAACCACCCCAAGCTTCAGTTTCTCTGCTGTTAACAGTATCTGCCCCTTAGGGTCACGGGGAGGAAGATGAACGACTCAGTGGATGCGAAAGTCCCCAGAATGTGTTTGGCACAAGATACCTCATTCCTTCTACTTTGGGACTGTCTTTGTTTAAAAGACATTTTCAGGAGGCTGAGGTTACAAAACTTTATTGAGTACCTATCATGTGGCAGGTACTGTGCTCGGGGAATGGAGCACATTCCCTTCCTCCTTCACCACTGCAAGCTCTGAAAATGAATATACCACAAGTGCTCTGGGTTACGATGCCAAAGATGCCAGGTTAACAGCCCCAGAGGCCCCACAGGAGATATGACAACACTAGACGTGGCCCTGTACCTTCCACTCTCTTCCTGGCTCAAGTCACTAATTGGCCATGCCCCCCATTGCTGGTCCTACGAACCACGGCATAAGCAGTAAACGTCATCCCAGCTAGAATCTAGTGAGAAACACATCAAAACATGAAAGAAGCTTGTGGGTTCCAGAAGCCAGCGTCTCCACATTCCACTTTCTGCACCAGCACCACCTCCAGGGCACTCTTCCCACTGCTGGAGCTTGGGATTTCTTTCTCAAACAAACTTGTACCACGTCACTGCCCTGTTTGGAAACCTATGATGGCCCTTCGCTGCCTTCTGGAAAAACCCCAACCCAAGACTAGCAGAATGGGGCCTTTGTGACTCCAGCTCGCCTTATTTGTATCATCTCTCACGACATCCCATACAGCCATGTCAGAGCACCTGCCGTTCGTCACATTGGCCCTGCCATCTCCTGCCTCTGTGCTTTTGCTTCTGCTGTTCCCTCTGCCAGGAAGGCTCTTCCCTTCTTCTCCATGCCACATCTTTTAAGAGGGTTAAATGCCATCTCCTCTGTGGAGCTCGCTTTGATTCATTCTGATAGTTAACTGCTTCGCCCTTGGTATTTTACATGCAGTCAAGACTCTTAGAGCAGGAGTCGGACACCCTGCACCATAATGTTCTGATAAGAGGATACTTCTTGTTCCCTCTTAAAGGAAGGGATGACTTTTTACTCATTGTGGCTTCCTTGGAGCCTCACAGAGGGCCTTGGGACTGTGAATATTTCCCGAATGAAGGAATGAGCCCTTAGCTGCTTTGAGCATTCATGCTCTAGAACAAGGGAGCATCCCTCTGGCAGAAGGAGAGAATGCTGTCAGTCCTGCAGGAATGTTTGTATTGAAAGTGTGGATCTGTTCCAGTTCTACTGA